AAAAAAATAACAATAGTGAATGGTCCTTTCATCTCAGTAATATGAATTATTTACCTTTTTTATGAGTTGCTTATTAAAATCTTACAAAATCTCCTTCTCCATTCTTCAATTAACATACATATAAATAATTATAATTTATTTAAAAAAATTAATTAATTAAAAAAATGTAAAAATGTAATTACCGAATTGATAATATCAAGGTCTAAATTCGATTGAGGCGAGAAAATGGCGAAAATGCCAAACGGGAGGAACATACTCAACAGTGGAAACAGGGAAGTCAACAGCTCTTTTTTCTGCAGCCTTTTCTATTTAGTGGCATTTCCCAGCGAAGACTCCCAAGATGGTTGCTTTGCAGTCACAATTCACAATCTTTTAAAGTATTTTTAGGCGATTTTTTTCGCTTCTGAAAAAGGTTTCAAATATTCTCCCCTCTCCTTTTCTTCCTTTGTTTCACAATCTTTTCTTTATTAAATTTGCTTGTGCAAACTAACAGATATAGTTTATAAAACAGGGAGGACGAGCAATAACAAAGAGCAAAGACCCTTTACAGCTTACCATCATCATCAGAACAGCCAGGCCAACTTTGGCCTTCTAATTCATCCTTTTTCTGGTGATTCTCTGATACCCAGCTCTTGTTTTGGCTGTTTTTTCGTTGTTTGGAATTGGGTTTAGGGTTGTGGTTTGAAGGGTTTTTGTTTAATCACTGGTTTGGGATTTTATGCTGCAGACTTTGAATTTTGGGACAAGTGTCTCGATTGGAATTTGGGTTAGAGATGGCTGCAAGGATTGGATGCTGTGAATTGTAAACAGCGGTGTTATAAAATTTTTAATTTTATGGATTGCTTATGCTGCTTTAATGCATCCGACTCTGAGGTAAAGATATTTCTGATGCTCTCTGTATTTATTTGGGTTCTATAGTAGCATCTTGCAGTCACGCTTCTATTGTTGGGTAAAAATGATTGCTTAGTCGTTAGTCTGATGAGTTAATAATGGTATTACTAAAATTGCTGCTGTTGGTGACTTTAATTTCAATAAAGCCTGTGTTTATGTTGTCTGATTTTAGTTGATTTTCATGAGATACTGCTACTTATCAGTTTGAATTGTGGGATTCTGGTGAGACAATATTCCTGTGTCTCTGTTGCTCTGCTTATGATGCATGCCAACTGTGAGGATAATTAAAACTGCTTTTAGGTTTCTTTCTATCTTTATTTTCCTCTAGACAAATGTAAGACTAATGCTGACATTTCTTTTTTCTACCTTTTCCGTTTAGCTTGCAGGCCATTCATCATCTAGTTCTGCGAAGGGAAAAAGCCATGAGGGTATAATCAACTATGGTTTCAGCCTAGTAGAAGGGAAAGCTAATCATTCTATGGAGGATTATCATGTAGCTAAGTTCGTGCAGATTGAAGAACATGAATTAGGGCTGTTTGCTATTTATGATGGTCATATGGGAAATAGTGTACCTGCCTACCTACAGAAGCATTTGTTTGCCAATATTCTGAAGGAGGTGGGATGAAGTTCCAACACATTTTTGAAGGATGGTTTATATGTTTTGTTTTATGAGTTTGGGGTCCTGTATTTTAGTTACTTACACATACTCATCTGCTCATTCTAGGAAGAGTTTTGGGTTGACCCGCCTAAATCAATCTCAAAAGCTTATGAGAGGACTGATCAAGCTATCCTCTCAAATAGTTCTGACCTGGGCCATGGTGGGTCAACTGCTGTAACAGCAATTTTGATAAATGGACTAAGGCTATGGGTGGCTAATGTTGGAGATTCACGAGCAGTTCTTTCAAGAGGGGGCATTGCAGTACAGATGACTACAGATCATGAACCCAATAGCGAACGAGGCAGCATTGAAAATAAAGGCGGCTTTGTCTCAAACTTGCCAGGTTTTCCTATATCAGTCAATTTTAAAGTACATTATTTGAGTATCTCCTAATATGAAGTTTTGGACAGTCGTGACTAATGTTTTGGAAAATACAATAGATATCTATTGATTACCTGTTAAGGAGCAAATGAAAAAACCCACACAGAAGACCATGTAGTTTGAAAATTATTAATGAAACCAGTATGATAGTTGCATCATTAGCATAAAATGACATTCAGATTAGGAGCTTTTTTAAATACAGTTTTAGGCTATTGGACAGTGTTTTTATCCTCCTATCTGATTAACTGCAGCATTCAGATAGGATCATTCAATTTAAAGTTGGTGGCCACCCATGTTTTTCATTCTTTTTCTGTTCAAGGAATTTGTTGCCTGGGTTTCAAAGATTGCTTTGTCAATCCAGATTGCAATCAATAAGCTTACAGTTCTTTAGCTCTTTTTTTGATGCTAATAATTTCTAAAATCTTTTTTTTTTTTTTTTTATTGTAATAAGGATGATCCCTTGTTTGTTTGATTCCTGTAAATTTTTGCAGCCAAAATGTTTCCTGTAGTTTTTCATTTAATCTAACTTCATCACAGTTTTCTGGGTCTTAGGTGATGAAATAGTGACAAGGTGTTCTGGTTTGTGTTTATTTCTGGGATGATTTTTCACTTGGTCTTGAAGAATGATTTTTCAATTCAGATTAAGCAAGGCGTTGATGAAACTTTTCTTTCCTAATTAGCATTTAAAGATATGTCATGCCTTTATTTGACTGAAGATTTTTAAAGAAATCACTGTCTTCATATGACGGGGATTGACAGGTGTCACTGGCTCACTGCTCCATTGAATGCAACAGAACCCCCAAAACCAAGGGAAAATTGTATTAAACATTTCATTTTCCCTTCTTTCTAATTTGAAATTTTCTATTTTGAGGGTCTGGACAAACTTCATGTTTTAACCTGTCTGTAATGTTGGTGAGAAGGGTCAGAATGCAGAGTTCTAATCAATTTGTGCTGCACCTCTGTTTTCCAAGTCTTGGTATCTTTTTCTATGTTATATATATATATATATTGCAGGCTTTTTGTTATTGTTACTTAAATAAAACACTGCTGATTGATGGAGTAATGCTTATGAGATTTGTTATATTTGCTCCTTTTTTTTTTCAGGAGACGTTCCTCGTGTTAATGGGCAGCTGGCAGTTTCTCGTGCCTTTGGGGACAAGAACCTTAAATCACATCTGCGATCTGATCCAGACATAAAATGTACCAACATAGATAACAATACTGATATTCTAATTCTTGCAAGTGACGGTCTTTGGAAGGTAATTCATTTTAGCCTAATCTATCGCCATGCTTATGCAAAGAAATGTCAAGTTGTGCATTCATTAGAAGTAAATGTCTAAGAATTCTTTTTTTGCTTTTGCACATGAGAAATCCAGGTGATGGCTAATCAAGAGGCTGTTGATATTGCAAGAAGGTACAGAGACCCACAGAAGGCAGCCAAGAAACTAACAGCCGAAGCAGTGAACAGAGATAGTAGAGATGACATATCCTGCGTTGTTGTTAGATTTAGGTGATAGAACCTTTCAAACCACATTACTTTCCTGGTGCAGTACATGCTGAAATAAGAGTTTTACACAGGATATGGGTTAGACCAACATGAAAAAATATAAAACTGGCTGGGGTTGATCTTCGAAATTCTGCAGACGTTGAGGTGTGGACATTGCCGAATTGAATGAAAATACCGAAGGAATCTCCCCATGTATATTTGTTCTATTCATGAGCTTCGGCCTTGAGATGTTTGACATTGTTTGATTTCTTTATACAAGGTCAATTAGGAATATGATGTATATTCTTGCCTTGTATGTAGATTATGAACTTGGTCTTCAGTCCTGATTGTTCTCAGAGGAATTTTCATGGTGTGGTTCAATGTAGTTACCAAGGAAGTCTTTGTGTCTATTTTTTTTTTTTTTAAATAAAAATTAAAAAATAAAAAATTTCGACCCTTTTCTTCTGGAAGTGTGGCAGGGTAATGTTCCCACTTCCCACCGTATTTTATTAGATGTATTCTGGATAAAGTGATTGCCTTTCCTTTCAGCCGCAAGAGCTGAGGTCTGAGGATAGATTCTTGGTGGCTTTGTTCTGGCGGCATACACTAATCCCCATCCAAAGGGCCTTGACCCTTGAGGGTTCAGATTTTCGCAGTCCCTGTTGTTTCTCTGCCTCCCCTTTCTTTGCTACAATTCTGCCAATCTTCTGGTGGATTCAGAATCTTTAGCCGTACCTAACCCAACGAGGAGGGAAAGGGCTATTGGATGTTGAAAAGAGAAGGATTTTTTTTTTTTTTATGTTAATTGTATAATGAAAAGTAATTTTTTCATATTTTTTATTTTATTTTATTTAAATATTATACTATTTAAATTTAAAATTTATTACTTTTAACGAAAAAAAATTATCATCCAACTACTTAGGCCGTTAATAAAAAAAATAAAATAAAATACTTGATTAATAATTTAGTATGTATTGATACAGGTAAAAAAAGATAAGAATCAAAAAAACAGTAACTTGGGGTAGATGGTTCTGGGCCCAACCACTTTAGTTTTTCGGGGAAGGTAGTTTGCCAAACACTTGATTAATTCATATTTCATAAACTGATTTGTTTGATTAGTCTTTCTGGTTGACCTGCACGTTCCCCGTGTAACCTGTTTCTACTATTTGCTTTTGGAATCAAAATTGAAAATTGCTTAGGTTGTATTTGAGAAGGTGGATTTATATTTAAGGTATATATTTTAAACAAATATATATTTAAAAAACATATATTTTAAATATATGTATTTTATAATACATTATTTAGATTAGATAAAGAAAAATAAATTTGAATTACATATATTTTAAAATATATTATTTAGATATAATATAATATTATGTAATTAAAATTAAATTTCATGTTAAGTTAAATCCTCTTCTACTAATTATTTCAATTGAACCTCTATTTCGTTAATAAGAAAACTGCATATATTTTTTGTTTTCAAATATTCAAATATTATTTAAATTCTCTTAAAATTAAAAACTAAATATATTTTAGTAGAAAAAATATTAATCTTTTTATAAAGAAGAACACAATAGATTAATATAGGAAAACTTGAAGTTTTAATTATAAGTATTTGTAATAAAATTATTGAATTTAATAAAAATTAAAAAATAAAATTTAAGGAAAAATGAAAAAATCAATACATGAAAACACACCAAAAATATATACATAATTTAATTCCCTAGATAAATCACCAAACTGCAACCGGCGAAACTTGATCTGGGATTTTGTTGAAGATGCATCTTATTTTGATGAACTACAGGAATTCATAATTGAAATTCATGGGTTAAAAAATGTACTTGAAATACATATAATTTTAATTTTGAAATACATAGTGTTAAATATATGTATTTGGACAAAATTTAAATACATTGTATTTAAGTAAAAATAAATAATATATTTAAATTTAAAGTTTTAAATTCAAATACACTCTAATCAAATTTAGGTTCCTAAATAAACTATTAAAGATTTATTTTTTCCCTCATTTTTGCCTATAGCTTTTTTTCGATACAAACTGTTTTCTCATCTAGTCTAGAAGAACTAAATTATTATTATTATAGAAATTATGTTTTATGGTTTGACTAAATTAAATTATAAAATAAAATTTATTAAATGGGAAAAAGCTTTGATATCAAGGCATAAACCCATTAAATAATTTGTATTATATAGTTTAATATAATTCAAATTATACAACATTTTTTTATTTTGTCAACTTTCTAGAACTAAATTTAGCACACTTTTTTTAAAATTACATATTTTATTTTTTCTTAGGTTTTTTTAATATTTAATTGCACAATGGAAAATAATCTTCCCATCTTGAGTTTGTTTATATTTATCAAAAACCAACCTTTAAAAAGATTACTTAATTTAAAGTTTTTCGGTCTTATAAATTGTTAATCCATTTAGTTTAGATTATATGTTCAAGACCCCATTTAATATGATTGTTGATTTTTATTTTAATTTTTATGAACCTTACAACTCTAAATAAAAAAATTCATTTATTTTCATATGTATTTGCAACATATTTTCATGATTATTAAAAAAAAATAAGAATAAAAATAGTTTTAATATTATTAAACAAAGTTATATTTTTTTTCTATGTTAAAGTCAAATTTTGTCTTAAAAAATTTTTTATTTTAGTTTCAATAATTTAAAATTTATGAAAATCAAGAATCACAACTATGTTTAATGAAATCTAAATTTAAAGGATTTAGAAAAAATAATCAAAGGATTTTTATTAATGCAACTTTTATACGTTAATTAATATTAAAAAATTAACCTCTATGCAATTAATTATTTAATTAAAACAATTAATCGATGAGTACAAAAATTGTATTAATTATACAGTTAAAAGAGACACCTTAAATAATAAAATTTGGGGAAAAATACATCGATAAATATTGAAAACATTAGAGAACCATGACCCACCAACCCATACCAGACGATTCCTTCGTCCTCACAAGCATGTGAATATTCTCTTTCACCATAATTCAATCATCAACATTGCCTGTCCAATTTCTCTTCCACATCTTTATAACTTCAATTCCCTAAACTCTCTACGCCATAGCCGCTCTTTTAACTTTTACTCACAATTTTTTTTTTCTTAATACTGTGTTTATTATATAAGGGGAAAATGAAACCCATCACATCAGATCAGATAACACTAAAATCTTACCATAAGCACACCAAATAATAGCCTGTGACCATTCGCTTGCCTTTGATTGACATAATTTATTACAGCGTGGTTGCTTTCATTTTGACTCCATAATTCCGCAGTTTCTAGATGTCAAGGTGCTTCAGCTTCACCGATGTCAAGAACTCCTGCTACAGATCCACCTTCATCAAATCGGGTCTCCGATCTACCATCACCGACCTCCATGACAGCACTGTAATGCACTGCTGGATCCCCACTGTTCGAGAATATTCCAAACCAAATCTCCTCCTCATCCACGGCCTCGGTGCCAACGCATTGTGGCAATGGGGGGACATCATCCGCTTCATGACCCCCCACTTCAACGTCTTCGTACCGGACCTCGTATTCTTTGAGGAGTCCTACACAACCCGACCCGAACGCACCGAGGCGTTCCAGGCTCAGTGCCTGATGCGGCTCATGGAGGCCCACTCTGTAAAGAAATTCAGCCTGGTGGGGTTGAGCTACGGTGGGTTTGTCGGGTACGGTTTGGCGGCGCAATTCAGCGAGGCCGTGGAGAGGGTGGTGATATGCAGCGCCGGGGTGTGCATGGAGGAGAAGGATTTGAAAGAAGGGGTGTTCAGAGTTTCCGATTTGGAAGAGGCGGCATCAATTTTGGTGCCCCAGACGCCGAATAAACTCCGCGAGCTAATGGGTTACACCATGTTCAGGCCGCCGCCTCTCAATTTAGTGCCGTCGTGTCTGCTCGCTGATTTCATTGACGTAAGTCGCCTCCAGCTATCTGATCCTCCAGTAGCTAATCAAATCCTGACACGTCAACCTGACACTCAAATCACAGATTTTTCGTTTAATTAAATAATAATAATATCATTGTATTATATTAATACTAGAATTTGATCGAGGAGCAGGTGATGTGCACGGAGTACGTCGAAGAGAAGAAACAATTGATCCTTGCGATTCCCAGAGACCGAAAACTTGCGAACATTCCGAAGATCACGCATGTGAACACCTTTGCCTCCTACTTTCTCAATTATCTGAGATCAACTTTTACTAACCATTCTTTTGGTTTCCACACAGCCGACGTTGATACTCTGGGGAGAATACGATCATGTGTTTCCGTTGGAATTGGGGTACAGACTAAAAAGGTTAGTCTTTTCGATCTTTGATGTGATTTAAGTATGGCTGTCACTTAATGTTGAATGGAGAACTGTTAAAAATGCAGACACTTAGGGGATAATGCTCACCTGGTTGTTATCAAGAACGCGGGGCATGCCTTCAATGTGGAAAAGCCGAAGGAGTATCTCAAGCACTTGATGTCTTTTCTCGTTAATTAATTTGCAGACTGCTCCAGCGAGCTCACGTCTTAAGATCGGAAACCATTATTCTTCGTTACAGGATTGATTGGGGGTGCAAAATAGCTACAGCGAAACCAATGTAAAAAGACAGGACAAGAATTCAATCCTATGATATATGCCCTGTTGGAATACCTGCCTGTATTATTAATTTGCCAGGTGCCTGCTTAGATTTACAATCATATCCTTTTTCCATTCTTTGTGAAACATTTTGATATTCTATATTTCTCACTTCGACAAACATAAACTGGCTATTTTCTAGCGGAGTTCATTTACACACTCTTTTCTTACAATAGAATCTTACACAACAACCAAAAAAAAAAAAAAAATGCAAAACCCCAAAATCATGTTCCCTGTCTCAATCAATAATCTCAATCAATAATAATAATTTAATAAACATAGATAACACTGGAACTAGTAAAGTGAGCATTCACGTTCCTTGTAAATAATTTATGGGAAATTTTCCTAAAAGTAACAGCAAATTTGGACATCCACTAGTGATGAAACAAATGCATCCAAGAACAATCTATATCAACAGAAATAGGTAGGGATATAAAATGCATATGAAAAACATTAAGGTGTCAAAAGGACTATAAAATGGCGGACTAACATATGTTTTAACAGAAGAATAATATTTTAGAATCCAAGAACATCTGGTCAATAGAACAGATCTTCATACAACTAGTACTAAAAGGCAGGTCACTCTAACATGCTCTTCCCTACTCAACAAGTCCAATCTTAAAAGAATGCTCTTCCATCCAACTAACTCTGCAAAATTTAATGCTCAAAATAATGATTGCTCGGCAATGAAAAAGTAGGTAAGAAGTTAGTACAAAAGAACAAAAAGTAAAACAGAAAGAAGAAACCAAGTAACCATAAAAATTGTCATCCAGTCAAAGATCAGAATGCCAGCTGTTGAGTCTAATGAAGCTGCTAAAAAAACAGTATTAACTTAAAGCTTAATATGTTATTACCTCTGCTTGAGGTTCATCACCTTTGGATTGCTCACCTACAATATCAGATGGAAAGTGCAGAAAAAAAGTATCAGTGACAGTCACCATAAGGAAGCTAATTACCATAGATAAACATGATGAAAATTTTGATTCTTGATTAGAGAGACAGTGATCAAAATTTTAAGCATGGAGAATAAATCTGTGAGAACATGATAATTACTAAGAGTTTAGACGACGAGTTGCTACCACTTTTATACCAAAATAAACCTTATCAATCTAAGGCTTGCAATCTTAGATAAAGAAAAAAAAAACAGTATTCAACTCAAAACATGGCATGCATGATATCTATATTATAGGTATGGTAACACATTAAGAAGTTACCTCCCTCCTCTGGCAGATCTGAGGTCCACAAGGTGAGATTATCCCTGAGAAGCTGCATAATAAGGGTGCTATCCTTGTAAGATTCTTCATTAAGGCTATCAAGCTCTGAAATAGCCTCATCAAATGCCTGCTTAGCCAGATGGCAAGCCCTGCTCCAAATAAAGCACCATATAAGACAAAAGCTAGCAACTAAAGTAAAATGTCATCTGGAGCTTCATGCTTCATCTAGAATTATCAAAACAAATTTGATCATCTAACATAAGAAGTTACATACGGGATCGGCGCTAAATGGTAAAAAAAATATTAGCACTGCCAAACCCTCGGCCAAAGGAACCAACAATGCTTGTTAGAGAGAGAGAGCTGCACGCTAACCTTTCAGGAGAGTTCAAAATCTCATAGTAAAAAACAGAGAAGTTCAAAGCAAGGCCAAGTCTGATAGGGTGAGTAGGAGGCAAATCTGAGGCTGCAGTAGAGGTGGCGGCCTACACATAAAGAACAGCCACATAGAATCTCAATTTCGAATATAAAAGTAAAAGGTGAAATGACCTAAATAAAAAGGGGGGAGGGGATTTGTACACACCTCATAAGCCTTAAGTGATTGATCTGCAGCTTCTTTACGATCATCACCACTTTTAAACTCAGCTAAGTAACGGAAATAATCACCTTTCCTGTTAAAACAGGGAAAAAAGTAATTACAAATGAAAGCCCATCAGCCATATCAGAGGCAATGGATATCGAACTGAGACAGGATTGAAAATATGCTAATCTTGACTACCACTGAAAAATAACTGAAATAATGAAAGCCCAAAGTATATTCACATAAACAAGGAAACAAGATGGGAAGTTTGAAATCTCCATCATGACTACTCACTTCAAAAAGAATAATATTAAGTCATGTGGTTCCACCACTTCTAAATGTTGTTCCATGCACTATGCTTATTCCTATAATTGTGGTTTTTGCAGGGAAATTTCTACTCCATACCATCCAATCTGCCAAAGCTATATATATTGGTATTCTTTCTGACATTTTCAAAAAGAGTACTTGTTTCTTACATTGTCAAATGGTATTTGTTTCTTTCCATATTAGAATTAGATGCTTCTCATCTCAAAATAATTCTATACTAAACCATATGAAAATGAAAGCAGTCTAATACGTCTTACATCTTATAGTAGAAAACAGTTGATTCTCCAGTTGTAGAAGAGGGAATAAGGTGCTTATCAATGACAGATAATATGTCATGGCAGATCTTTGCGAGCTCATCTTCGACCCTCTGCCTGTAATCCTTTATTCTCTTCACATTCTGCTCATTACCTTTGGCCTCCTCTTTCTGTTCAATGGAAGACAGTATCCTCCATGATGCCCTTCTTGCTCCAATGACATTCTTATATCCCACAGATACCAGGTTCCTCTCCTCCACTGTCAGCTCCACACCCAACTTGGCAACCTTCTTCATAGCTTCAACCATTTCTGAAATTAAATTTAAAAGAGTGAACCATAAACTTCACATTAGGTTTTAAATGGGATGAAAAATGATAATTCGTTAAAACTCTTTGTAAACTTTAAAACGATTCAGATTGCATAGTAATGAACTAATTGAAATGTTTAATATACATTCTTTTTCTTTTTTTTCTTTCTTTCTTTTTGTGGAATTTATCATTAGAAAAGAACAAACCTTAAGACATGATAAACTTGCAGAAAATAGCATCAAATTAAAAACATCAAATTTATAACAAAAATTAATACAAATTTCATGATTAAACAATCAAATTGAAAATCCTTCCTCCATTATCAACAAATCCACGAATCATTCAGTTAGAAAGTAAAATATCATGTAAAGCAAATCAACTCTGCATAACACCGCCAATCATGCTAAATAACACTATCAATCAGTAAATCAGACGAAAAAACAACTACGAGAAACACTATTTCATGCATCAAAATCACCAAAACGAGATTCGATACACAAAACCAACTAGCAAACAGCATAAAGGAGATCTCGAAATGAGAACAAGCATGGCTATACGATTCGATCCATTCAGGTCGAGAAAGCAAACGTTACCATCATATCGCTCCGCCTGCTCGGCGAGCCTCGCCAGATAAACTTGCTGCTCTCGCTCCTTCTCCATCGCCTCTCTCTCTCTCTCTCTCTCTGTGTCTGCTCCCTTTCTCTCTCTGCGTGCTTTTTGCTTGTTACGGTTTCTGCTATCTAGGTAACTGCTCTACGAGCGGACCATTGGATTGGATTGCTGGTGAGGAAGATCGACGGTGTAAAATTAGTTTTGGTTTTTAAAACCCTTAAGAAATCTACGGTGATGCGAGGGTGAA